TTAGTGGCATTGATGTTTGGCGATGAGGTTATATCTCTTATATCTATGAGGTGGATGATATATTGATCATCATCATCATTACCCCAGTGCTGCAAAGGCTTCCACCAATGGTGGGGTAAGAGGGGGTCGGATGTACGCAGTCTTACCCCTATACTAAAGCACAGAAAAGGCTGTTTCCAGATGACCCAAAGTGAGAATCGCATCGAAAATTGCAGACTGACTACTGCTTCATAACAAAGAAGCGTAGACAGTTTAGTGAGCCATTTTGCTTTAGTGGATGATATATTGATATGTGAGTGAATTCCTTATGTGGGATTCTCAACTTAGTTGGGTTGGCATTGGCATAACATAAATCTGATTGATTTTTTTTTGTGTGATAATAACAAGCATCATGTATATATCTGAATACAGCTCCAAAAATAAATTCTCAACAACCCCAGTTCTTGTATGCACGTAATATCATTTTCCCCCGTTGCAGACTTGCAGTTTTATTAGACACTTTGATATTTCTATTGCAGATTGTGGTTGAGTTACCATATATTTTGATACAAGCATTCATATATGGAGCCACGGTATACTCTATGATTGGATTTGAGTGGACGGTCCAGAAGTTTTCGTGGTATCTTCTCATCATGTTCTTGACGTTCTTGTACTCAACTTTCCTGGGCATGATGTCAGTGGCCATGACTCCAAACCTGGAGATTGCATCCATCATGGCAACTGGATCGTTTGGAATCTGGAACCTGTTTTCGGGATTCTTGATTCCCCGACCTGTAAGCCTAATCCATTTATGAGTTAATCTTGTGTTACTACTATGTGTTTAATGTGTCGACCCCTTAATTTTAAAAGTGCGTCAACCCCCCTTGTATTATACTTCGTCATGATCTCTAAATTATTCAAAAATACTGATCATTTTTTTAATTCATTTGACAATTACATTTGTTCTTCGAGAGGGTTATGTGCATAATTAATGAAGACAGGGGTTTTTGACGCATTTTTAAACCACCAGAGAGAAATACGCATAATTTATAGTTTATATTACATCCATTCATAATTAATTGTTCAACTAGGTTTTTTGTGGTTTTTAAGAAGAAAACTGAAGGGGGTAATATAGAGGGTGTAAAGTAAATGAAAAAGTAGGAAAGTGAATACATATATTAAGAAGTTGAATGTAATGAAAAGTAGGAAAGAGAAAGTATTTTGTAAAAGTAAAAAGTAAAGGTAATAAATGTGAGGGTATACATGTATTTTAATTAAAAAAATACTACCTCCATCCCGTTCAAAGGTTCCCATTGCAGAATGGCACGGATGTCCAAAAAAGGAAAGTGAGAACATTTGTATGACATGGAGGGAGTACTAACAAGGAAAAGAGAAATAATAAAAAAATTCCCAAAAGGAATATAGAACATTTAATAAAGAACGGAGGAGGGAGTGTATCACTAGGGGATTTGGTGCATTATTTTTATCTACTTTGCGTTTTAAGGAGCAAATATTCCAACTAATATTTATATAATACATTTATTAAATATGTCAAAGTGGATGAAGCTGAAACAAGCAATTTCGTCATGGTAAACCTAAAACACAAGCAAAAGTGTTTCAGCATTGGCTAAACTCGAATGAGCTATAATCTAATAGTGACATTTGGAAAATAATAGACTTAAAGACGTTTTTAAATCCCGTGCAAATATGATACATTTTGTGCTAAATCCCGGCAAAGTAACGTTTTTTGTTTTTCATCCCTGTAATATGTAATACGGAGTATTTTATTTTTAGTTCCTCCAACTCCGTGACCATCCTCATTTACAAAAAATTAATGTCCATTCATAACTCTACTAGAATCTTTTAACTTAATCGTTTTATAACTTCTTAGAGGCTAATATTGGAGTTTAAACAATGTAAAACTAATAATCAAGTTTTTTTAAATTTGTTTTAAACCATCTTGAAAATAAATGTACATGTTTTTTTATGGCGTGAGAAAAAAGTTCGAATGACATGAAAAAAATGACAAAAAGGATAAAAAATTAGAGGGTTAAAAGATAAAAGAAAATTGTAGCGACATAAAAACAAGAAACACTATATTTGCATGGACTAAATATATTTAAATCAAGAATAAAAATATAAATCAAATTATAAAATCTCACACTAAACAAAAATAAATATATAAACCACCATATATACGTTGTGCCTACTACAACTATTAGGTTGACTTCGAATCTTAAATCTTTACTGTTGAAACCCATCTTCCATTCTTGCATAAAGCAAAGAAAATGTGACGTAGAATATACCCTTCTCGAAACTCCATTGCATGGTAGTTTGACTAGTTTCTGAATGGGGTATGGCCTTTTATTCTCTCAACCCAAAAATGTATAATGTATCTTCTCATGACAGCTTGCTCCAGTTTGGTGGAGGTGGTATTTTCGGTTGTCACCGGTTCAATGGACGCTGTACGGGCTGGTGGCGTCGCAGTTTGGGGATTCACAGGATGTTTTGGAGACGTTCGAAACAGTGGAGAGCTTCTTGAAACATTATTTAGGTTTTAGGCGCGATTTTGTTGGAGAAACTGCAGCTATACTCTCTGGTTTTGTGCTTCTCTTTGCAGTATTGTTTGCTTTGGCCATGAAGATGCTCAATTTCCAGAAGAGATGATAATAGATAGGTTGACTATGACCAGCTTGAATAAGCGGATCAAGTCCAAATATACAAGCCCATACAAACTGTAATAAAGCAGATGGAATTGTTAGAACTTAGAATTTGGATATAAACATATACTCCAATAGTCCAATTTATTTTTGACATTTTTTTGTTTTTGAAAATGATGAATATATCACGATCTCCATTTGTAATCAGTTGTGTAATGTGCCTATTTGTTGTCCCCATTGGCTATTTCTATTTTTTTATTCTTTTTCCCTATTGGCTAACGAATTATAGTAGTTGGGGCTGGGGGGGGGGGGGGGGGGCTGGTAGCGTTGGAGCCTCCTCTGACAAATCTTAGGATCGTTGGAGGGGGTGGGACGACGTGAAACATTATTTGTTACTCCATATAGATTTATTCCAACTGGGACTGCATTGTAATCGAGATCGTCTGTTCATCTGCAATCACCAGTGGAGCTAGGGAGGAGCCGACCTACCACGAGACCTGACCCACCCCAACCTAGGCCAACCTAATACATATTTACATTCATATATAAAAAACACATTATGTACTGGGATTAGGGGTGGATTCGGTTTGGGCCACCCAGCCCGTGACCCGGCCCGGCCCGCTACTGTGTGGGCCCGGGACCGGCCCGGTCTGGCGGTCCGGGACCGGGTGTAGACCCGAACCGGTGGGGATGGGCGGGGCGGGCTCGGTTCCGGAAAAAGTTGACCCGGCCGGGTCGGGCTCGGGTCCGGGTCCAACGGTCATTTTTTTTTTTGTTTGGCCAAAATAGCTGTTGGGGGGTGGGCTGGGGACAACCCAAACGGCTATATAGCCGTTGGGTGGGGTGCAGGGGGGTCCGGGGGGTGGGGGGTGGGTGGGGTAAAAAAACCTATAAATACTCCTAATCTTAAACATTTTTTCATCTCTTCTCCAATTCTTCCTAAATCCTATTCTTAACTCTCTACTCTCTAATTCTCTTATTCTCCAATATATTATATTTATTATTTATATATCTACTTTATATTAATTATCTACTTATAATTTATAAATACATACATTATAATATTATATTACTTATATTTGTTATCTAATTATATATTACGTATACATTTATTATATCTATTAATATAGTTGGAATTATATCTAATTAATTTGAAGTCAACTTGCAAATGGTGCGGGAAAAAATGTAGCATGAGGGTTTCAGGCGGATACGGGATGACAATGAAGCATATTAAGTCATGTGACAAAGCCAAAGGATTGGGAGGTGCGGGAAGTTTCGATTGATTACAATTTACAAAATGTTTGTCTCTTGAAGTTTGTTTTAATTTTCAAATGTAGTTCCTATTTCATTTCAAATAAATGCACTTGAAGTTTGTTTTTAATACTTCTATAAAACTATAAAGTATAAAATAAAATAATAATAAAAAATTACTTTAACCGGCCCGGCCCGGCCCGGCGGGTGGCCCGACCCGTGACCCGGGCAGGTGGCCCGGCCCGAACCGGACCTGTCCAACCCTCGGGCCGGTCCCGGGTCCATGTGATACAAACCGGCGGCCCGACCGGGCCCGACCCGGCCCGAGTCCATGCCTAACTGGGATCGGATCATAATCAAGAGTGACTGTTCAACCGGACCCACTGGTAGAGCTAGAGAGGGGCCAACCTAGGCCGGGCCCCAACGACCCCAAGTTTAAAAAATGGATGAATTTTTAGTGAAATATTCTTTGTAAAAAACAATTCAAAAATACTCTTTGTACCAGCGCAGTGCCTTGGCTCTGCCCCTAAACTGGTCCAAACCAAAATAACCTATGTTTGCCTCAATTCACCATATCCTAGCCCTAGGACTGGTCGGTCCGCGGAATCAGGATGGGTCCATGCCTAGTTTGTATGTGGTGTGGTTGTAAGTAGGGATCATTGCATTTGTTGCCTGTTTATTCGTAATGCTTATTTTTTGTTTGCTTAGGTGGTGTCATCTTCTGGGCCTCTGGCAGAAGCAAGTATAAGGAGGGATTGGACAATCTCGAGATTGAAATTGATGCTGAAGAAGCTCTGGATTACATCGAAGGTCACAAACCTAGTAAATGGATGCATGGATTCCATCAGAGATGCTAAACGGCTGGGAAATTTCTCCTTCAAGCATGTTTATCGCGAAGCCAATTGGTCGGCCCACTACATGGCTAATCTCCATTTGGGTCTTTTCAACAAAGTTACGTATCATACGGACCTCCCTGATCAAGCCCGCATAGCTTACTTAAGAGACCTTTTCAATATGAGAAATTCTATTCACAATCCTTTTTTTACTAAACAAAACCACTTAAATAATTCAATTATCTAGTCTACCCTTACTCTAAATATTGAAAATTATCTGAAATTTATAAAAAATAGTGACAAGGATCACAATGTAGACATTTGACTACTGCGGAGTAGTTTTTCGTGGAGGAGTTGGGGGAGGGAGTAGAGTCTGACCCAGACGATGAGCTCTTCCACGTCTTGTCCATTTCGGGGAAGTAACTTCACGTATGGGTGAAGAAAGCTTCCGGACCATCTCTTGCGCTTCTAGGAGTAGTTCCTAGCTCGGATTTGCATCAGGAGTAGTTCTTGAGGATGATTGCGCTGCTAGGTTTCTAGATCGGCTCCCAGTGATAGGGTTTTGAATTTCTTGATTCAAGCTTGACAATGCTCAAGAATTCAAAGTGAATACGGGCTTGCTTGATGTCATTGGTACGTTTTCTTTGATCAAAAGTGAAGAGATGAAAGGTAAAGTTGTAGCCCACGTATACTCCCCAATGCCTAGGCGGCAATCAGGCCGCCGGCGGAGGGTACCAGAATGGTGGTTGCCTCAACGCAGAAAACATTTGTGTCGACGGTAAGGGAATCAGTCCCTGGCCACCGAATGCACTCTAAACCTGTAGCGCTAACAAATGTTGACTTTCAGAGCATCGATGCAAAATCCGGCCGATTCAAAGGTTACCAATCAGTCACCTTCTCCGATTTAGATATCCATGTACTATCGATTAACTTCCGTTTCGCTTTGGTGGGAACATTTCCAAAAAGCCGACCACCCCTCCCTGCGATTAAGAAGGCTATGGCGATTCTAGGGTTTTCACAACCCTACTCCGTCGGTCTTCTCCGTCCGAACATGCTTCTTTTCAACTTCCAATCTGATTCCGACTTTCAAAGATTCTGGATTAAGCGTTCTTGGGATTTTTATGGTTCTGCGATGAACCTGACCAGATGGAGTCCTTCCTTCTCGGTTGATTGTGACTCCCCGCTGGCACCCGTTTGGGTGGTCTTTGAGGGATTGCCGGTTCACCTACACGACGCTAGGGCTCTGTTCCACATGGCTGCTCTTCTGGGGAGACCAATTGTCATTGATTCTCCAACGGCCAATTTCTCAAGACCCTCCCTGGCCAGAATATGTATTGAAATTGATGTTTCTAAAGTCCTACCATCCAAAATCTGGATTGGAAATGGCAACCAATGCTTTTTCCAATCCGTCCAGTATGAACATCTGCCGGTGTACTGCAATTGTTGCTCCCGTTTGGGTCACATCAATTCAATTTGTCCCAAACACAACAGGGAACCAAAACAGATGATGCCTAATCCAGCTGAGGTTTTGGTCCCTGCTGTTCAACGTCCTGATTTGAATGCACATGCTCTTGATTCTGTTCAAACTACCTGTGATGACTCTCAAATTCCTTTTGAAACTGAAATTACTGAAAGTGCTGTTAAAATGCCCTAAATTGTGTTACAAATGCAGTCTGTCATGATACTCAGGTCAATCTTTTGACTGAGAATTTGGAAACAAATGCTACAGAACCATGTCATGTCCCTTTTGATGCTTGTGAAGTCCAGGTTACAGTCATGGAAAATCCAGATTCTTTTCCCCCGGCTAAGGGTGTTGCTTTAGCTATCGGTGATGAATATCAGGTAACTGAAAACACTGATTGTGCTGGCCCAGTTCATACTATTTGTGATGTAGCTGCCCCAGTTCAAACTGATTGTGCAGTAGCTGCCCCAACTAATAATGATATCTGTGATGGTTCTGTGATCATCCTTACTGAAAATTTTAGCACCAATAGTGCAGACCCATCTTCTAACGCTCTTGATGCTCCTTTTGCTTGTGAAGTCCAGGGTTCTGCCTCTTATGATGCCTTTACCGTTGATGCCAAAGCATTTGATCTCTCTGATGCCTATATACAGGAAGGGCCCCCGGTAGCCACCTGTAACGAGGTGGTAATTGAGGGAGGTGCTCATCTTGTGGTTGCCTCTGATTGTTCGGCCCAAAACGGAAATGATGAGACTTACTCTGATCCACAACATACAGATGCTACACTGGTTACAAAAATGTCCCGTGATGAAATCTTTTCTGAGGACACAAACTTTGTTCATCTTTCTGTTTCAGGTAACACAGATCCTCAACATATCAATGAAGAACACCATGAAGGCTTTACGGAGGTTAAAAGGAAAAAACAAAAATATGAACTCCATTGAGCCTCCGAACGATGCTCCAAAAGAAGCACAACTATACTATGAAGTTGGATACATCTCTCATCCAATGATCACCAGAAGTCACTCCAAAAAACCTCAAAATGAAACGGATTATTTTCTATAGCCAGTTGACGAGAGATTTGACTCGTCGCATAAACTAGCAGCTCTACAACGTTTCAGGTTATCTCGCCCGGAGGAAAGAACGTTCAGGCCATATCTCAAGAATACAATCAGGTTTCATAACAAATATAACAGAGTAATATCTGTTGCAGTTGGGATCCCCTCAAAGAATTTCAACTGTTGATGTACTTTATCATTTTCATTCACTTTTCTTGTTATTTAAGTCATGTAATTTCATATTTCTTGTACTCAAAACTCTATTTTAATAAATTAGGGAGGTGTTCTCCGGCACCCCCACTTTGTGTGAAAAAAAGAGACGTAGAGTTGTCCCACTGGGCGTGCCAAAAATCGGTGAAACAAATTTTAAGTATTTACTTAAATATGAATCCTCTTATTCTTCGCTTGCAATTTAAAATAATATAATTAAAGAATTTAATTCAAAATTAAATCTTTAATCTTTCAAACATTAGAATGTTCTTCAAATCTTCAAATCTTCGTTCTTGAGATCCTCGAATCTTCGTTTTTCGAATCTTCAAATCTTCTTGAATTAAGAACTCAACTTGAAGGGTGTCCGGTTTCAAGTGGCGTGATCTTCAACAAAAGGGCCGTTTTATGGTTTAATCTTCTGTTTAAGGGCCTCCTGGGATATATGACTTGATCTTCAATTGAATCTTGATTCAATCTTTATATGAATATCTTCAAAGATTCGTTCTTCATATCTTCGAATCTTCAAATCATTGTTCTTCAGATCTTCGAATCATCGAGCTTCATTCTTCAAGTTTTGAATTTATTTTATCAAGAATGAACAAAATCACAAAGGATTATTCATATATTCTTAATAAAATTCGTGACTTGATCTCTTCATCTTCTCCGGAATCATTCAGAGCCTCTTGTAGGCATGGATCGGTTCCGGTTCGGGCCCGGCCGGGCCTCGGTTCAAGAAGGGGAGGCCCGGAACGGGCCCGGGTAACCCCTGGGTCCGGGCCAGGCCGGGCCTCGGTTCTTTTGTTTTTTTCCGCTTTTCCTAGTTAACCCTAACCCTCCCCCTCACCCCCAAACCAACCCTAACCACCTCAAATGGCCCAAAATACCCAGCCCAACCCAAAAACTTAAAAAAAATTCAAAAAATAAAAAAAAATTGGCCCGATCCGGACCCGAACCGGCCGGGCCGGTTCACCTTTTGAAGGGCCCGAGCCCGAACCGCCATCCCACCGGGCCGGTTGGCCCGAACCGGGCCCGGAACCGGTTCACCGGGCCGGGCCCGCACAGTAGCGGACCGGTCCGGTTCCGGGCCGGTTGTCCCGGCCCGAGTCCACCCCTAGCCTCTTGGGAGTTCTTCGGAGCTTTAATGCAGCGTTTCTTCGACTGGACGTTCTCTCCTCATCCCTCTCAACTGAGACCCCTATTAATAGGTGTGGAGGGGGTGAAAGTATGTTTTAGGGATTAGCAAATTCTTCCGTATCCCTTGGGCTTCAATTAAAATGGGTTTTGGGTTCTATTTGCTTGCATTTCAATAGCTAAAAAAAATCACCACTTGTGCAGTGTATCTGGATAACTTTCTTAACAACATTCATATCTATTTTTCATGCAAATGGATAAATTTCTTAACCAGATTCATCGCCTTATTCATAAGTTGAATCGGGCCTCTTATATTTTAGGCCACTATTTGATACTGGGCTCTAAAATAGAAGATTTAGCAGGACCGGTCCATTGCTTTAAAAACTCAATTAAATTAATTGGATATTTCAAATGATCCAAATTAATTTAACCAATAAATTTTATTCCGAGGGATCCTTGTCACTATTTTTCATAAGGCCTAACCATCATGGTAGCCCAATAGAATCTGAGATTGGTCCAATAGCACTTGAAAGAGGTCCAATGATCATCACAACTGGCCCAATAATTTTTTTAGTATCCACACTCATAGACATTGATTTGCGCACGTACAGACTTGTGTAATTTGTGTTGAGTTTAAGTCCTGGTATATCCAAAGGCCCAACACAAACCTTCGAACTATAGGATATATTAATAAAAGAAAATATTTAGGAAAGACAAACAACTAACAAGATCACTCAATAGCTCCGATTGTATTAGCATAATAGTGTAGATTACAAAGAAATGGCCGAACGGCAGTTACGGTCCACTGTCTAATACAAGAGCTAGAATGAAGTATAATACTTGTGAGTATTCAAATGCTAACCCCTTCTAATGGAATAAATGCGGCTATTTATACTAGATTAGAGTAGGTGGAGGGATGATGTGGCCGAATCCGATCGGTTGCTTTCTTTACCACTTGCGCACCCATGCTCCCACCTGTGACCCCCATACTCTAGCATTATATGCATCCTACCACTTGCACGGCTCCTCGATCGGTTCTGGGACCCACTAAACCATCAATCAAGAGGAATGTTGATCATCCACCAAGTAAGGACTAAGGCCCATTCGGGATATGCCTAACAGCTTCTTCACAAGTTGGTCAGATCTCGTTTTCATTTTGGCGTTGTTTTTTGGCCTTAGGATATTCTGGGCCGGTATATTGGGCGGGACCCTAATATCCCCCACTTCCGATGTTCCGAGCGTGCTTTGGACATAAGGAAGTAGAAATATGCTTTCTCATGATTACCTGACGTTCCATATCTGCTTGACACGTGTCTCTGGGTACACTCCCTACTACGTGTCTTGCTTTGATTGGATGCTAAAACGGTGCTTTGAGCATATAAATAAGGGCATTGACCTCTGGTTCTGGGTTTTCGAATTTTCGTTCCCTCGCCCAATTGCTCTACCTTCTCTCTTCAAACCCTAATTTCAGGCTTGCCCATGTAATTTCTGATTTTTCTTCCTTCCATGGCCTTCTATTCAGTAAAAATGTCTGAGAGCTCTAGCCCTTCTGACCCCTCTGGTTCGGACACCACCGTTAATGAGATGGTTCAGGGGAATGAGACTAACGACGTTGTTGAAAATACGGTGGGCACCAGTGTCGCTGCAGAGAATGCGACTGGTGACTTTGCTTCTGCCAGTGATCCTGATGATGCCCAATCCGACGATTCCGCAGAAAATGCTTCGTGCAGTGACTTTGATGACGCCAAGTCTCGCGATAACATGGCAGTAGCGAGGCCTGCCCCCCAGATGACACTCCCCATCACCATATGAATTTCAAATCCATCCGAAGGCGGAGACAAAAACTCTACCCCAAACTCACGTCCCAAATTCCCATTCTAATTCCAGACCCGATCGATTTTCGTCTACACTCCGGGCTTCATCCATTGCCCCACCGTCCTTGAATGGTGGTGGTGCACTATGACTCAGTCAAGGCCAGGCTGAGATTCCCCTTGCATCCTTTCTTTGTAACATTTTTTAATCACTACGAGGTGGTCGTGGCCCAAGTAATGTCGAACTCCTACCAGGTGATGTCCGGATTTATCTGCGGTTGCGTCGAAGTCGATGTGACACCTGACCCGAACCTCTTCCACCATTTCTTCAAGGTTGCCCCTCAGCAAACTAAAAGATTCCTTACAGTGAGCGCCCGAACGGGTCGAATCCTTTTCACGGGGAACCTTACCTCCATCAAGGGATGGAAAGACCGCTTCTTCGTTTCTGTCACGGACGGTCTCATCCCCAAGAGGCGGAATGCCTATCTGCCTAAGTCCACGAAGCCGTCTATTTCTGAGGATCTTGGAAACAAAATCGTCGTTGTAGAGAGGCCAGAGACGTCCAAGATGATAGAGTATCTGATTCCCGATTGGCTGGTCAAGGTTGGGATATGTACCGTCCGATTTCCTGGAATTCTTGACTGAAAACCAAGTGCCATGGCCCGGGCGATCCTTCCCGTGCGAGAAACTTACATGCATGTGCACGTTTCACATACGCTAAGATTGCTCAGTACTAATTTCTTGCTTTACTTTTTTCAGCTCCCAATACCGAAGCAAACATGGACAGAAACCACATGCAATAGCTCGGTGATGCCGGGAAGAGGGAAAAAAGGCCAAGGAGCCTGTTCAGAGCTAGATCCCGGAAGCCTCTCAATTAGTGGTTCAACAGCCGGAGCCGGTCCAGTAGTTGCCGCTTGAATAAGTTCAGTTCGATGCGATGATGGTGGACCAGCCATTCGGGTCCACCCAATCTGCGCCCATCGTTGCTGAGCATCTCGGCTCAGCTAGTGGTGCCCATGCAGAGGCCAAACAGGCCCATCTGTCAAAAACCCTCGAACGGATCACCCTGGAGGATCCCATCCACGAGGTGCTCGAACACGAGGGGTGCTCGGTTAGCCAGATCTGGCACGCCTCCGCATTTGTCAACAACTTTGACCTCCCAACCCTGACGGTCGAGCAAGCCGAAGCGGGTGTTTCTCTGGCTGCCCTCAACGTACTAAATTTTCCCGTTCGATAATTTGCTTGTGTTTTTAAAGTTTCAGGTTCGTGAACGTTCATCTTTCCCATAGGTTGGCCTGTACAGCCTGCAACTCCAAACCACTCGGCTGGCAAAGGAGGAACAACGGATCAAGGTCCGAACGGCCGCTGAACAGACCATGGCCGATGCTGTCAAAGTGGCCGAGAAGGAGAGGAAAAGGCTTGAAGATGAGCTCGGCCAACTACAGGTGGAACGTGCTGCCTCTCAGGCCAAGGTGGCAGCGATTGAAGCTACTCAGGTTTCCTTCAAGGAAGGTGATGCCCAGATCCTGGACGGGCCCCGGGAAGTAAATGCAGATGTGTCAGCCATCCGGTCAACCGCCCTGGCCAAATACCAATCCTCCGATGATTTTGCTAAAGCTGCTGAGGAGTATGGTCTGGCACATCTAGGTGAGCTGTTCGGGAAGCACCTAAGAAGTTTCCTTGGGGCCTGATCCGGCGTAAGGAGGAGGTGAAATTGGCTGATCAGTCCTCAACAAGTTAGCAGTGGGTCAACTCCATGGCTAAGGAGACCTACATCACCAGCTGCCAAGATATTATGCAAGGTGTAGTGCCAATCCTGGAGTTGCTCACTCGGAAACCGCTCGATATGAAGGAGCACTCACAAAATGAAGTCCTCTTGGTCCAGTTCGTAAAATATTGCCGTGACCTGAAGAGAGAGGCCGACCGGGTTGCTGGCCAAGAACTTGACCCTTTAACTGCCTCAGAAGATGAGGAAGAGGTTGATGATGAAGTGGATGATGAGGCTGAGGGAGGAAATGCCGACCAGTAGTTCTTATATAGTTCTTATGTAATTACTTATATTTTGCTTCCATTCAACTCTTGATGTATATTCCGGCCAGTAGTGCCAAAGAGTAAAGCAACATTTTTTGCTCATTTGTTGCTCTTCGTTCATACTTGTAATATTCTTAATTCCTCTGCTCCGATTTCATTACTACTGCACAT